GCATAGAATAAGTCTTAATTCCAGTAACTTAGTCTAGTCCGGGTTGCTCCCCACAAGTAAATTATCATTGTGTCCATGTTCATACATTACGGAGTAAGTCTCCCAGTTTGTCTGACTTTCTGCAGAGAATCATAGAAGAGTTTTTGTTTTACTTTTCTTTTAAACTATAATTTATCATTGGAGCAAAATATAAATTTAATTATTATTTTAAAGTTATGGAGGAAAAAGGAAAATAAAAATATTTCAATCAACTGAATAAGTATGGCTTTTAAGTGGTAGCAAGACCAGGTCTGTATTTGCCCTTTTTTTCTTTTTTTTTCTTGTTTTTTAAAATTATTTTAACTTTTATTTAATAAATATAAATTTCCAAAGTACAACTTTTGGATTATAGCACCTTTTTAACCCCATAACCACCCTCCCACCTGCAACCATCCTATCTACCACTCCCTCTTCCATTCCATTCTTCATCAAGATTCATTTTCAATTATCTTTATATACAGAAGATCAATTTAGTATATATTAAGTAAAGATTTCAACAGTTTGTACCCACACAGAAACACAAAGTATAAAGTTATGTTTGAGTACTAGTTATACCGTTAATTCACATAGTACAACACATTAAGGACAGAGATACTAATAGGGAGTAAGTGCACAGTGACTCCTGTTGTTGATTTAACCATTGACACTTTTATTTATGGTGTCAGTAATCCCCTAAGGCTCTTGTCATGAGCTGCCAAGGCAATGGAAGCCTCTTGAGTTTGCCAACTCTGATCTTTTTAGACAAGGCCATAGTCAAAGTGGAAGTTCTCTCCTCCCTTCAGAGAAAGGTACCTCCTTTGATGGCCTGTTCTTTCTGCTGGGATCTCACTCGCAGAGATCTTTCATTTAGGTCATTTTTTTTGCCATTGTTCTTGGCTTTCCATGCCTGAAATACTCTCATGGGTTCTTCAGCCAGATCTGAATGCCTTAAGGGCTGATTCTGAGGCCAGAGTGCTATTTAGGACATCTGCCATTCTATGAGTCTGCTGTGTATCCTGCTTCCCATGTTGGATCATTCTCTCCTTCTTAATTCTATCAGTTAGTATTAGCAGACACTAGTCTTGTTTATGTGATCCCTTTGACTCTTAATCCTATCATTATGCTCAATTATGAACTGAAACTGATCGCTTTGACTAGTGAGATGTCATTGGTATACATTGATGGGATTGAATTGTAATCCCCTGGCACATTTCTAACTCCACCATTAGGGGCAAGTCCGATTGAGCATGTGCCGAACTGTACATCTCTTCCCTCTCTTATTTCCACTCTTATATTTAACAGGGATCACTTTTCAGTTAAATTTAAACACCTAAGAATAATTGTGTGTTAATTAAAGAGTTCAACCAATGGTATTAAGTAGAAAAAAATACAAAAATGAATAAAGTCAGTCAACAGTCAGGACAAGGGCTGATCAAGTCATTGTTTCTCCTAGTGTTCATTTCACTTCAACAGGTTTCCTATTAGGTGCACAGTTAGTGATCAGGGAGAACATATGAAATTTGGCCCTCTGGGACTGGCTTATTTCATTCAGCATGATGTTTTCCAGATTCCTCCATTTTGTTGCAAATGACCAGATTTCATTTTTTTTACTGCTGTATAGTATTCTATAGAGTACGTATCCCATAATTTCATTATCCAGTCTTCTGTTGATGGGCATTTAGATTGATACCATGTCTTAGTTATTGTCAATTGAGCTGCAATAAACATTGAGGTACATACAACTCTTTTATTTGCCAATTTAATTTCCTTTGGGTAAATCCAAGGAGTGGTATGGCTGGGTTGTATGGCAGGGTTATCTTCAGGTTTCTGAGGAATCTCCAGGCTGACTTCCATAGTGGCTTTACCACTTTGCATTCCCACCAACAGTGGGTTAGTGTCCCTTTTTCCCCACATCCTCGCCAGCATCTGTTGTTAGTTGTTTTCTGTATGTAAGCCATTCTAACTGGGATGAGGTGAAACCTCATTGCGGTTTTGATTTGCATTGCCCTGATTGCTAGTGATCCTGATCATTTTTTCATGTGTCTGTTGGCCATTTGGATTTACTCTTTTGAAAATTGTCTATTGAGGTCCTTGGCCCATCTCTTAAGTGGGTTGTTTGTTTTGATGTTGTGGAGTTTCTTGATCTCCTTGTAGATTCTGGTTATTAACCCTTTATCAGTTACATAGTTTGCAAATATTTTTTCCCATTCTGTCGGTTGCCACTTCACTTTCCTGACTGTTTCTTTTGCAGTACAGAAACTTCTCAATTTGATGCAATCCCAAATGTTAATTTTGGCTTTGACTGCCTGTGCTTCTGGGGTATTTTCCAAGAAGTCTTTGCCTGTGCCAAAATCTTGCAGGGTTTCTCCAATGTTCTCTAATAATTTGATGGTGTTGGGTTGTAGATTTAGATCTTTAATCTATGTTGAGTCGATTTTTGTGTAAGCTGAAAGGTAGGGGTCTTGCTTCATGCAAGTTTTCCCAGCACCATTTGTTGAATAGACTGTCCTTGCTCCAGGGATTGGATTTGGATCCTTGATCAAATGTAAGTTGGCTGTAGATGTTTGGATTGATTTCTGGTGTTTCAATTCTGTTCCATTGGTCTATCCATCTGTTTCTGTACCAGTACCATGCTGTTTTGATTACAACTGCCCTGTAGTATGTCCTGAAATCTGGTATTGTGATGCCTCCAGCTTTGTTTCAGTTGTACAAAATTGCCTTAGCTGTTTGAGGTCTCCTGTGCCTCCATGTGAATTTCAGCATCATTTTTTCCAGATCTGAGAAGAATGTCTTTGGTATCTTGATTGGTATCTCATTGAAGCTATAAATTGCTTTTAGGAGGGAGAATGGACATTTTGATGATATTGATTCTTCCAATCCATGAGCATGGAAGATTTTTCCATTTTTTGGTATCCTCTTCTATTTCTTTCTTTATGATTTTGTAATTCTCATTGTAGAGATCTTTGACGTTCTTGGTTAAGTTTATTCCAAGGTATTTGATTGTTTTTGTAGCTATTGTGAATGGGATTGATCTTAGCAGTTATTTCTCAGCCCAGGAATTGCCTGTGTATACAAAGGCTGTTGATTTTTGTTCATTGATTATATATCCTGCTACTTTGCCAAAATCTTCTATGAGTTCCAATAGTCTCTTAGTAGAGTTCTTTGGATCTCCTAAATAAAGAATCATGTCATCTGCAAAGATGGATAGTTTGACTTCTTCCTTCCCAATTTGTATCCCTTTAGTTTTTTTTTCTTGCCTAATGGCTCTGGCTAAAACCTCCAGTACTATATTGAATAGCAATGATGAGAATGGGCATTCCTGTCTGGTACCAGATCTCAGTGGAAATGCTTCCAGCTTTTCCCCATTAAATAGGATGCTGGCTGTGGGTTTTTCATAAATTGCTTTGATTGTATTGAGGAATGTTCCTTCTCTACCCAATTTGCTTAGAGTTTTCATCATGAAAGGGTGTTGTACTTTATCAAATGCTTTCTCTGTGTCTATTGAGTTAATCATATGGTATTGTATGATACATATTTTATTGGAGTGTCATGCTTATTTGGGAGCGTCATGATGTCTTCGTTGTTCTTGTTTTCTTGGTTTTTGCATTTGTTGTTTGGCATTGTGGAGATATTGTTTGGTTTCTTCTTTTTTTTTTTTCTCACTGTGGTGGCTTTTCTCATTATACTATGACTCTAGATTAAGTGGACTGTCTGCTTTTGGTGACTCTCTAGATGCGTGTGGTGAGTGTGGCTGGAGAGCTCTATTCAGTTCTTCAGGGCTAAGGGTATGCCAAAGGTGACACACCCAGGTTTGGTGTGGCAAATCTCTCTCCTTTTTTTATTCAGAAGGGAAGTAATTCCGCTCAGCTGAGCTCTTCTCCTTGATGACAATCAGTGCCTGAGTGCTAGCCCTATTGGGTATGATATTCATCTGCTCTGTGCCAAGGACCACACAAAGGATCTGTGCAATCCTCAGTGTAAGCTCAGATTCCCCTGCTGTGTCTCTCACTGGGTAGCCAAAGTTACCGAGTTTGTGGTGTCTCCTACCGAGACTACTCACGTCTCAGCCACACTGTGAGTTCTCCCACACACCCTCAATTTTTTTTTTCACAGTCCCATTTCATAAGCTCCACACATTCACTGGTCTTAGTCTCCTGTTATTACTTCCAAATAGAGTCAAGTTTTTCTGTTTGGGTGAGGGCAGGCATAGCCCCGAGCAGGTGCATCTGGTACGTATGTCCAAAATGGCACCTGCTCTATTGTCTTGCATGCCTTTGTAAGGTGTGTGGAGAGAGAGAATTGTGTCCATACCATCCCTTTTTTTTTCTCTCCCCTAGTTAGGCTGGTGTACTTTCCTCCACGGGGCTTCAAGCCTTGTTCCCTCTAGGCTCTTCCTGCCGCTTTTCTGCCAGTGTCTTGGGCTACTGCGGTTTCACCTCACCTCTTTCCAGCGCTGGTGTGGAGGAGAAGATTCTTGGCAGCTGGGCTCCTGAGCCGTGGGCACCCATGTCCTCCACGTAGATCCGCCGTGTCCCTCTAATTCCGGAAGAGTTCCCTCTGCAGTTTTTTCTCTAACTCTTCCCTGAGACTTCACTATCTCCACTTTTATTAAATTATCTTTTCTTGGACTATCAGTGAGCTCCCTCCCTATTCTGCCATCTTGGAGCCATTCCCACACCCATACTGTTTTTATGTATTTGCTTCTGATGAATTAAGAACCATCTGGTCAATATCCATTGTTTGGAGCAGCAACCTACCATTGTGTGTTAGCTTCTTGGTTCATTGCACCTGTAAACAAAAGGCCACACATAAATGCATGCATCTCCATCTATTCATGTCTAGAAAACATTAACTCATAACATATTACCAACTTTAAGTCAAAAGTTTGGATCTCAAAAAAGTAGATGTTTTTTCTCTCAAACATTTATTTTTATATAAAACAAAATTTTAATTTAAAATCTTGCTTTTTCTTTCTTTTACAGATAGAAGTCCTAATAGATTTAGGATTGTTTTCTGAAGCCTTTTATGAGATATGCCAGATATTTTATGGAAGAAATATACCTTGTTCAATACCCTCTGGCTGTAAAGCTACTGGAAAAATTAAGGTAATCTGCCAGTTTGACTTAGGACATTTCTTTGCCTTTGATGGCTACTTTTGCGAGATCACAGGAACACTTCCCCAAAAGTGTATCTGCAAGTCTGCAGGACTCTGGACCTATTTGTTAATCTGGTTATAGCTAATAGCAGGCTTTTAAGAGGTTTCATTTGTCAGGGAATAGAAGGGTATCATGGGAGAAGAGGCATGGTTTTGGAGTAGATTTTGGCAATGGAATTCTGGTTCAGGGATGCTGCCTGTTGTTATCTTCAGAGTTTTATTTTTATTTATATTTTATCAGCTACTACCTCTTAGATTTTCAGTCTGTTTTTTTTTTTTTTTTGAAGATTTTTTTTTTATTTGAAAGGAGAGTTAGAGAGAGGCAGAGAGAGAGAAAAAGATCTTCCATCCACTGGTTCACATCCCAAATGGCCACAACAGCCAGAGCTGTGCTGATTCAAAGCCGGTAGTCAGGAGCTTCTTCTGGGTTCCCCACACGGGTGCAGGGGCCCAAGGACTTGGGCCATCTTCTACTGCTTTCCCAGGCCGTAACAGAGAGCTGGATTGGAAGTGGAGCAGCCAAGACTCGAACCGGCACCCATATGGGATGCCAGGACTGCAGGCAGCGGCTTTACCCACTATACCACAGCACCAGCCCCTAGTCTGATCTTGTAATTTCGGGTTAATGTTCTTGATAAAACTGTCTCTTCTTATATCTTATTTTGACTTTTCTTTTTGATTATATACTAGAATCTCAAAGAGTTAGAATGTGTTGTTTAAATTTCTTCTGAAGGCCGGCGCCGCGGCTCACTAGGCTAATCCTCCGCCTAGCGGCGCCGGCACACCGGGTTCTAGTCCCGGTCGGGGCGCCGGATTCTGTCCCGGTTGCCCCTCTTCCAGGCCAGCCCTCTGCTGTGGCCAGGGAGTGCAGTGGAGGATGGCCCAGGTGCTTGGGCCCTGCACCCCATGGGAGACCAGGAAAAGCACCTGGCTCCTGGCTCCTGCCATCGGATCAGCGCGGTGCGCCGGCCGCAGCGCGCCGGCCGCGGCGGCCATTGGAGGGTGAACCAACGGCAAAAGGAAGACCTTTCTCTCTGTCTCTCTCTCTCACTGTCCACTCTGCCTGTCAAAAAAAAAAAAAAAAAAAAAAAATTAAAAAAAAAAAAAATTTCTTCTGATTTCCATAAAGAGAAAACATCCTTTACATTTACCTAGTTTTGTTTTTGAACGTAATTTCACCTGGTTTGCTCAGTGTGTGTTGGTAAATTGGATAACACTAATGTTGATATTTAACACATAAATTATAACAGGATGAATTTTTGTTTTCCTCTGCTTTGGTTTTCCCCAGTGACCTGGAAACCACTGGGTGATCTTGCTTTAGGCCCTTGTGGGCCAATGAGAAAGGAAACAGGAGGAGGTAACAAAGCACTTTGTCTGAGGGAGGCCGAATGTGTGAGGTGTGGACCTGACACACACAGTGCAGGGTGGTGGGATTCATCTTTGCAGGACCTGGGGAATGAGCTGTACGTCTTGAAAATCACTTGCCCAAGCTAACCTTGTACTACATATAATGTGTTCATTAGTTCAGCAATTCTTCTGAAATGTACCTGCTTGTCACTTTGTGTGGCTGCTGTAGTGTTTTTAATAGGGTATGAGGTTGTATTCAGAATACCTTTAGATGTGCATTTAGTATATAATAAGATAGGAGTGCAAGTGTCCATGTGTGTGTATTCATATGTATATATCTGTATATACAGGAAATCTGTCTATACATTATATATATATATGTATGTGTTTGTATGTATATGAGTCCATCCATGCATCTATCAAGAGGAATCCATTTTGTTCATTCTCTGTGATGTGAACTAATTCATATTCTTACTTTGATTAAATTAACACTATTTTCTTGCTTGCATTTTGGTCAACAATGTTTAAGTGGTTTGCATGTTGTTGTTACAATTATACTCTAATTCATTTATAGTACTTGTTGAGTGTTTCCTGAACACAAGCACTATGCCACGCATGGGGAAAGAGCAATAAAAAGACAAATGGAGTGATTGCTTTCCTGCAGCTTAGAGCACACTGAAAAAACCCCTAAACATATTAAGCACAGAAACACATTTCAGGTGGTTATATGCTGTGAGAGACAATCAAGCCACTCGAGCAGATGGAGAGTGACCAGGGCAGTGGCTTGCTGTTTTATTCAGAGTGGTTTGGAAGATCTCTCTAATACATGAGTTTTGAGAGAAGTGAGCCATGCAAAGATCTAAGCAAACAACTTTCCTGGAGGGAGGAACTGTACAGGTGAAGGCCCTGAAACGATGCTTGTAAGAAATTGTTGAGCAAAAATGGGTAGGCAAAGAGAAGTTGCCAGAAAGAGGTGGAAGAAAGGAAGGGAGAGGAGGAGGGGAGAAGAGGATGAGACCCAGCAGTCAGGTCATGTAAGATCTTTATAAGGCTTGCTGAGGACTGGAATTTACTTTAAATGAGTTGGGAAACTTTGTAGAGTTTTAAGCAGAGAAATAATATGATAGGAAATAAATATAAAAAGACCACTTTATTTACTCCTTGGAGAGCAGGCTGTAGCTTGGCAGGGGTATAAATAGATCAATTTGAAGGCTGTTGGAAATAATCTGGGTGAAATATGGTAATGGTTGGGGTGATAACAGTAGAGAGAGTTAGGAGTGACCTGGATGTGAAGATGGTGACAATAGAACTGAGAGTGCGTGCTGATGATAGTTTGGACATGTGATGTAAGAGAAAGGAGTCCAGGATAACTCCTCAGTGTGCAACCTAAGCAACTGGTAGGAAAATTTTCCATTCTCTGAGATGAGGCATACTGCTCTGGGCAGGGGTGAGCATGTGATCCCTAGTAGATAACCAACTGGAGATGTAGCATAGATCAGAGCAGAGAAGATATGATCTGGGATTTAAAGGAGTTCAAGTTGCATGCATAAATATGGGGTTATCAGCATAGAGATTTAAGATCATAGGACTAGGATGGAATCACCTGAGGAATTGGGGCAGATCAAGAAAAGTAGAAGTCAGAGGACCCACATTTAAGTCCAACTCAGGAAGATGAGCAGATAGAGCAAACAGTTAGGTAGAATGAGAAACAAGAGAAACTTAAGGTGGCCATTGCTTTCACCAAAACAAATATAAATGATGAAACTGATTTTTACATGTAAATTCCCAACTTAATTTTTTTCCACTACCTTTCATAAGATAATCCATCTCCTGATGGATTCTGACTTCAAATTTTGTATTCTCAAAGTTAATTTGCAGCTTTCCAACTTCAATGGGAATTTTAAAAAGTGTAATTAAAAGAGGAAATGCTCTCAGGGTTTATAATTAAAATAGGTGCCAATGTTATTAGGCTGGAGGCTAGTTATTTAAGAAGGGATTAATGAGCTAGGTTTCACTTGTCAAAGAAGTAACTGAAGAAGTTTTAGAGATTGCTATTGGACTTCACACAGGCCTTTAAAAATTCTATATTTTATCATTATACTCATACTAGGATTCTGCTCTTATCAAATCTACAGTCCTATTACCAACTGGGTAACAGTCCCATTACAACTTCAGTTTACACCAATAGAGATGTCCCCATGAATTCAGTTACTACTCAATTTTCAGTGTGTTACAGATAACAAAGAATATCTTCAAAAAGGGGAAAAAAGTTAACACTTGCCAACACTTTTTTTTAAATAAAATTATTGTGATGTATTAGTTTTGGGAATCCTTCAAAATCAGATCCTTGAGATGAGGATTTAGAGGCAAGTAGTGTATTTGGGATGTGATTCCAGGAAGTATAGTGAGTGAGTGGGAAATTTAGATTGAGAAGCGAAGCAATTTGATCCATCCAGAGAACATTCTGTGGGGAGCAACCGAGACTAGACTAAATTACTAGAACTGCTAGGACTAATTCTATGCATCTGCTCTCCCACAATATGGCGCTGAGAGACAGCAAACAACTTCTACACAGCTGCCTCACCAGTTTGACTGATACGCTGCAGGAGCTGATCCTGCTCCTGATTGGAGGAGAGCAGCGTGCTCAGCGTGTGGGCAGCAGAGCACGGATTGGTGGAAGAGGACTATAAAGGAGGAGAGAGACAACATGCACCGGGAAACATCTGAGGAACATCTGAGCAACCCCTGAGAGAGCCGGCCAGCGGTGTGCTGCTCCTCCGCAGAAGCGGGGAAAACGGTGGGGGTGCCGCCCCTCCGCGGAGGTGGGGGGCCGGCAGCAAACCCGGGAAGGGCCGGGCAAAGAGAACAGTGCAGGGTCTAGTGTCGTTCCTCTGTGAGAGGGGGAGCGACACATTCATGAGCAGGTGGGGGCCTTGACCAGTGGGGGCCCTCAGGAGACTAAGTAGACTGTCTTATCCTTCGTTAGTGAATTTATTTTACCCTATACTTCTAGCCTCTTGAACATTCTTATGGCCATAGAATGTCCTCAGGCAGAGAGGCACAGGTGCTTGAAGTAGGGCACCATCCATGTGTGATCAACTTATCCATAAAACTGTTGGTGACTTCCTGGTGACCATGGGGATATATACATGAGGAGTATAAGTATTGGCTTTCACAAATGTTATTATTATTTTTTTTGACAGGCAGAGTGGACAGTGAGAGAGAGAGAGAAAGGTCTTCCTTTGCTGTTGGTTCACCCTCCAATGGCTGCTGCAGCCGGCGTGCTGTGGCTGGCACACTGCACTGATCCGATGGCAGGAGCCAGGTACTTATCCTGGTCTCCCATGGGGTGCAGGGCCCAAGCACTTGGGCCATCCTCCACTGCACTCCCAGGCCACAGCAGAGAGCTGGCCTGGAAGAGGGGCAACCGGGACAGAATCTGGTGCCCCGACCGGGACTAGAACCTGGTGTGCCGGCACCACAAGGTGGAGGATTAGCCTAGTGAGCTGCGGCGCCGGCACAAATAGGTATTTTTAAAAAAGGGCCTTCTGTTCCCAAAAGAACCTGTCCTAGTTAATGATATAACAATCTCCTATAGCAAATAAACTAAATATGTCCTAATGCAGTATTACATTTAGAACCAGACATATTAACAGATAATTCAAAAAAATCTTAAAAATAATCATTCTGAATATTAATATAATTTTACCTTCAAACTGGCAAAGTTTTATTTTTTGAGTGACAATACTCAATGTTCTTAAAAGTACAATGATTCTGGCATTTCAAATGATATAGGTAGGTGTGTAATTGAGCCAGCTCTTTCCAATCTTCTTAAAGTATTCTTATCTTTTTACCTAGAAATCCCAGTTCCAGGAATCTGTTCAAAGACAGTACTCAAAAGTACAAACAAAAATAGTCATCAGTGTTACTTAAACCAAGCTGACTGATGGCTGCTGGTGGGAAATGCCATGCTTAGTTGTTTAACAGTAATAGAGGTTAAGTAATTTTTCTACATTCACAGGATAGGTATTACCTACCTGTTAGACTGAGATTTTATAAATAATTTAATGGTTATAAGAGTGGGAATAAGAGAGGGAGGAGATGTACAGTTCAGCACATGCTCAATCGGACTTGCCCCTAATGGTGGAGTTAGAAATGTGCCAGGGGATTACAATTCAATCCCATCAAGGTGGCGTGTATCAATGCCATCTCACTAGTCCAAGTGATCAATTTCAGTTCACAATTGATCATAATGATAGGATTAAGAGTCAAAGGGATCACATAAACAAGACTAGTGTCTGCTAATACTAACTGATAGAATTAAGAAGGAGAGAATGATCCAACATGGGAAGCAGGATACACAGCAGACTCATAGAATGGCAGATGTCCTAAATAGCACTCTGGCCTCAGAATCAGCCCTTAAGGCATTCGGATCTGACTGAAGATCCCATGAGAGTATTTTAGGCATGGAAAGCCAAGACACTCTGGCAAAAAAAAAAAACAAAAACCAAAAACAAAAACAAAAAAAAACAAACACCACAACACAACAAAAAACCTAAATGAAAGATCTCTGTAAGATCCCAGCAGAAAAAATGGGCCATCAAAGAAAAAGGTAACTTTCTCTGAAGGGAGGAGAGAACTTCCACTTTGACTATGGCCTTGTCTAAATCTAAATAAGATCGGAGTTGGTGAACTCAAGAGGCTTCCATTGCCTTGGCAACTCATGACAAGAGCCTCAGGGGATTACTGATGCCATAAATAAGAGTGTCAATGGTTAAATCAACAACAGGAGTCACTATACACTTACTTCCCATTAGGATCTCTGTCCTTAATGTGTTGTACTATGTGAATTAATAGTATAACTAGTACTCAAACATAACTTTATACTTTGTGTTTCTGTGTGGGTACAAACTGTTGAAATCTTTACTTAATATATACTAAATTGATCTTCTATATATAAAGATAATTGAAAATAAATCTTGATGTGAATGGGATGGGAGAGGGCACGGGAGATAGGATGGTTGTGGGTGGGAGGGAGGTTATGGGGGAAAAAGCCTCTATAATCCAAAAGTTGTACTTTGGAAATTCATATTTATTAAATAAAAGTTAAAAATAAAAGAATTTAATGGTATTGAATGAAAATTATGATACAATTTTTAGTGAACATGGAATATAAATCTTGGAGTTTTTAAATGTAAAAATAATTGTAAGAGAGAAATCAAATATTAACTAGACTACATAAAGGAATTGACAGATGCTTTTTACATATTAATGCAATACTTAACTTTTCTAACTAGAGTGTGTATTACTTTCACATTAAAAATGGTACTTATGATAATTTTAGAAGAACATATTAACTCATTTATAAGTTTCATCTACAAGAATACTCAAATAGTCTCATTCCCACTGTTATATTTTGTATTTTGACAGTTTTTCCAATCATTTGACCCAGGGAAACCTCTTAACAGTAAAGAAAATATACAGGTAAGGAACACAGTGTTAATAGACATTGGATATTTAGTTACTAATTTTTGAGTCTTTTCAATCTTTTTGTTGGTTTTAAAAATATGTTATAAGCTGTGGGATTTTATCTCAAAATTCTGAGACCAGAGGTGTAAGATTGGATCAAAATCATCTGGTTTTCAGATGGAGCAAATAGCAGTTACTGCTCCTGTTTCTTAATTGCAGATGTGTATCTAGTTCATTCATCTAGCTGTGCAAAGTATCCCTCACTTTAATATGTATCTTGATTACCTGGAGGGCAATAGCTGACTTTGGTTGTAAGAAAATGATTTTGTACATTTTACAATAGCCCATGTGTTCAATACTCCTTCTCTTCATTTCCTTCTTTTCCAGTTAGGAGACTATCAGGCAAGGGTTTAGAGAATTTTCATTTGGCATTTTTATGAGTATTTCCTCTAAATTCTTCAGTGATTTTTTTTTTCACAAAAAGAGAATGAGACTGCTCGTCTATATGTACTTGTGTTAGTGGAGATGGGGAAAAAAGGACCTTGTCTTCCATAAGAGAAGAATTTCAGATGTGAGACAGAGAGAAGCGGTAAGCAAGGTAGCCAAGTCGAATGAGACAGTGCATTCTGCAGGACTGCTGGGCAACTCATCAGGCAGATCTGAGAGTGATTGCCAAGTCTGCATTCAGATTGGGGATTATATGGTTATGGGGTTCACTTCTTCTTACCATTTCTCCTTCCCCCTCCCTCTTCTTCTAGACAAAGGGCTTCCTGGGTGTGAAATTCCTGAAATTCCTCCCAAGGATTTAATACCAAATGTAATTAGACTGGATAGTCCTCCTGACACCTGGCCAAAAAGATTCTCCTGGGACTTCTCCAAGGGAGAAGGCTGGCAAGTGGGCAGGACTTTGATGTGTGTATGCTAAGCTGCTTCCAAGGCATGCTTCTAAGGCTGCTACATTCTTTCCTACAGAAACCCATTGTCCTTCCTTTACCACTCCACTCATAGGAAGACTAATGTTTACCTTCCTACCCAACATTGTACTTGTCAGTAACTGAATGCTTGGAACTTCAGCATTTGATGACCTGGTAGCATCTAAATATCTTTTTCTTTAAGATTTATTTTTTATTCATTTGAAAAGCAGTTACAGAGATAGGAGGAAGGATAGATAGGTAGGTAGGTAATTAGGTAGATAGATAGATAGATAGATAGTTGGATAGATAGAGAAGTGAGATAAAGAGATATCTTCTACCCACTAGTTCCTTCCCCAGATGGCCACAATGGCCTGAGGCTGGGCCAGGCTGAAGCTGACCCAGAACTTCTTCCAGGTCACCCACAGGGTGCTGCTTTCCCAGGTGCATTAGTAGGAAGCTGGATCCAGAGCAGAACAGACAGGTCTGGACTGGTACCCATATGGGATGCCAGCATTGAAGATAGAAGCTTAACTTGCTGTGCCAGAATGCCAGCCTCTCATTTAAGTATCTTGAGGGTAGATGGAGATTGAATCGGTAATAAAGACCCTCTCAATAAAGAAAAGCCGAGGACTGGATGGCTTCACTGCTGAATTCTACCAGACATTTAAAGAAGAACTAATTTCAGTTCTTCTCAAGCTATTCAAAACAATTGAAAGGGAGGGAATCCTCCCAAACTCCTATGAAGTTTGCATCACCTTAATTCCTGAACCAAAAAAGAAAACAGAGAAAGAGAACTGTAGACTAATATCCCTGATGAACATGAATGCAAAAATCCTAAACAAAATATTAGCTAATTGAATCTAGCAACACATCAGAAAGATCACTTGTGTGGACCAAGTGGTATTTATCCCTGTTATGCAGGTATGGTTCAACATTCACAAATCAATAAATATGATATATCACATTAACAAACTAAAGAACAAAATCTATATGATTATCTCATAGATACAGAGAAATCATTTGATAAAATCCAACATCCTTTCATGATGAAAACCTTAAACAAATTGGCTATAGAAGGAGCATTCCTCAACACAATCAAGGTGATTTATGACAAACCCACACCAGCACACTATTGAATGGGAAAAGCTGGAAGCATCCCCCCTAAGATCTGGAACCAGACAAGGATACCCACTCTCAACATTGCTATTTAATATAGTCCTGGAAGTTTTAGCCAGAGCCATTAGACAAGAAAAAAGAAGTCAAAGGGATACAAATTAGAAAGGAGAAAGTCAAACTATCCCTATTTGCAGATGACATGATTCTATATATAGGGAATGCAAAAGACTCCACAAAGAGACTATTGCAACTCATGAAAGAGTTTGATAAAGTGGCAGGATAATATAAAATTAACACAGAAAAATCAATAGCTTTTGTATACACAGGCAATTCCTCGGCTGAGAAAGAACTTCTAAGATGAATCCCATTCATAATAGCTACAAAAAATACCTTGGAATAAATTTAACTTAGGAAGTCAGAGATCTCTATGATGAAAATTCAAAACATTAAAGAAAGTAATAGAAGAATACACAAAAAATGGAAAAATCTTCTGTGTTCATAGATTAGAAGAATCAATATCATCAAAATGTCCATGGGATCAACGTGATCCCAATCAAAATACCAATGATATTCTTCTCAGATCTAAAAATAAAATGTTGCTAAAATTCTTATGGAAACACAAGATACCCTGAATACCTAAGGCAATCTTATACAACAAAAAGAAAGCCAAGGCATCATAGTACCAAATTTCAAGACATTCTACAGGGCAGTTATAATCAAAACATCCTGGTACTGATGCAAAAACAGACATGCATACCAATGGAACAGAATAGAAACTGAAGAAATGAATCCATTCATCTACAAACAACTTATCTTTGACAAAAGAGCTAAAATCAATCCCTGGAGCAAGGACAGTCTCTTCAACAAATAGTGCTGGGAAAACTGGATCTCTGTGTGCAGAAATATGAAACTAGATTCCTACCTTATACCTTATACAAAAATCCACTCAAAATGGATCAAAGACCTAAATCCATGACCTGATACCATCAAATTACTAGAGAACTTTGGGGAAAGTCTGAAAGACATTGGCATAGCCAAAGACTTCTTGGAAAAGACCTCCAGAAGCCCAGGCAATCAAAGCCAAAATTGACAAATGGGATTACATCAAGCTGAGAAGCTTCTGCACTGCAAAGGAAACCCTTAGCAAAGTGAAGAGGCAACTGACAGAATGGGAGAAAACATCAGCAAACTATGCAACTGATAAAGAATTAATATCCAGAATCTATAAAGAACTCAAGAAACTCAACAGCAACAAAACAAACCATCCAGTTAAGAAATGGAAGAGGACTTGAGCAAGCATTTTTCAAAACAGGAAATTCAAATGGCCAACAGATACATGTAAAAAATGCTCAGGATCGCCAGCTGTCAGAGAAATGCAAATCAAAACTACACTGAGGTTTAATCTTACCCAATTAGAATTGCTCTTGTACAGAAATCAACAAATGACAAATGCTGGTGAGGATGTGGGGAAAAATGTGTTGGGAATGTATACTGGTATAGCCACTGGGGAAGACAATATGGTTATACTTCAGAAATCTCAATAGAGATATACCATATGACCCAGCCACCCCACTCCTGGGAATTTACCCAAACAAAAATAAATCATCATATGAAAGAGTTATCTGTACTCCCATTTTTATTAAAGCTCAACTCACAATAGCTAAGATATGGAATCAACCCAGACATCCATTAACTAAAGACAGGATAAAGAAATTATAGTATATATACACTATGGTGTACTATTCAGCTGTAAAAGAAAAAAAAAAATGAAATAGGCCAGTTGCAACAAAATGGATGCAACTGTAAACCATTATACTTAGTGAAATCAACCAGTCCCATAACAACAGATATAATATATTTTTCCTCTTATGGTGTAACTAATAGAGTACCTAAAATGTAATGTATTGGATTGAAGTGGACATTTTGAGATTCAGTGATTGTTATGTTATAGTCCTGGCCTCTACTGTTGAGGAACAGTGTTTTTTTCTTCATACTATTTGTTGCACTCTTTACTTAGTGTAGGGTTAACCTTATGCATATAAAGTATACTGAAAATAGATTTTTATAAAAATTAAGAGTGGGAATAGGAGAGGGAAGAAGAAGAAGGCTTGGAGCATGGGTGGGAGTGAATAGGGTAGACATATCTATGTTTCTAAATCTCTATCTATGAAATACATGAATCTTGTATAACTTAAATTCAATTTGAGATAATAAAAAAAATTTTGAGCTCTATTGTTAGTCTGTCTCTTTAGAAGGGGTTAGGGCACAAGAGAGTTGTAGGGGGTTGTGGATGGAGAAGAAGTTCATATAGCCAGGTGACAGTTAATGCAGATGAACAGGTATACATAAATCTATTCTGTATTAAAAAAAGCTGCAAGGAGCCAGGCAGCTAATATTCAATTCCGGACTCCCTAAGTGTTTAAAGTCAATGAAATGTATAGGTCACAACTGGGCATGAGAAGTGTTTGATCAGCTTGCATATAGATCTCTGGTTGGCCAACAGTACATGTGGCCTTTCTTTGATTGATCAGTGTTAGGAACCAGATGTTTCCTCTGGAATGGCAAAGGTGGTTTCCACTCTGTCCAGGTCTGAGAGTAGCTTGAGTATACTTTGTTTGATCAGGGCTGGTGAGTTCCTGTAAAGCTCTGAGATTAGGGGCTTACATTGAGATGTTCACCATGCTACATCTAGGGGCAATTTGAGTCTTTATGACTCAGGGTTCTCTTTGTGTCACTCCTGTAAATTACTGAATTAATCTTCACAGAGGAGCTGTAAGCCAAAGAGGAGATATGGGGGACTTTTTAAAATCTATAAGGCATTAGAGGCAGGTGCTCAGTTTCAGAAGCAGTATTAGGAAGATACAAACACATATTCATATTTCATTTTGGTGTCCAAGACCTTGGGGGTGTTTTTAAGAATACTTATTTCTTTCCAGTCACAAATGCCAAGGTTTTCTAAAAACATTTCCTTAAAGAGTGATTTTTTATGTAAAACGAATGTCTGTTTGATCATTTCTTTTTAATACAAGAAGAGACTGACAGTATAATGGAAACCCAATTCCAATTAGCTAATTAATTAAAACAGTACTGTTGGTCTGCTTAAGACCCTTCAGATTACACTTTGTATTTTCTGCATAGATGGAGAGGACAGTGCATTAAATAGCATTACTAATTAATCTTCTTTTGATCCTCAAGTGTTTGTGTGTAATTGTCAAGGCTCATTAAATCACATTTGCAGTGGAGGATGAAGAGAAGAGAAATGTTTTCTTCGACCCTCACCCCCAACCAATCAGAAATTGCTTCTCCAAATGGAGGAGACCAACCATTTTCCCAGTACAACAGTTTGGCTGTAGCTCAGGCTCACTGGCTGTATCAGGTACAGCTCTCCTGCATTCTTGGTTTCCATCTCCTAGAAGAGGTTGAAATAAGGAAATGAACAATGGCCACAAACCTTCCCAATGCCACCATTGCTTCAAACTCACCCCAAAAATGAAACTTTGCTTTTTTGTTTACATAAGCCATACAGTTTCTCTGTTTTCTAAAGTAGATAACCCTATCATCTACCTTTTATGTTAATTAAACAAGTATTTATTAAGAATCTGTTATGTCCATGCCACTTCTCTGATTCTCTGATGCTTTCATTCAGATAAATCAGGCAGTCCATTGTGGGAAATGGGGTCCCCAGCTGTATTTATTCCAAGTTTTTGTCTCCACGTAAGAGAAGAATTCAAAACAGACATAGATAAAGTGCAGGAATGGGAGCAGTATTAATAAAGGAGATTAAAGAGATAGTACAGATTCAGAAGTGAATGTGAACAGCCTCATGAGAAGAGCTGCATGCCATGAGGAAAACTGGAGGCACACCAACATCCTCCTTTATTGGTTAGCTGGTAGTTCCTTAATTGAATATACAACAGGGTGGAGTTTGGGCAAGGTTCAGGGTATGTGTGATGATCTCTGGGAAAGATTCATGGCGTTACCATGGTGTGTTCTTCATGGTGGAGGAGGCTCAGGTGCATCAGGGGAAGGTGGGTGTGCTGAATTGAAATGTAAAGAGGTGGAGATTTTTACTAATGCACAGCTAAGGCACAAAGGCTGCTGGAAGCCTCTTAGCTCCTTTGTGCCTCACTAACTCCCTGCTTAGCCCATACTGAATCAGTTACACAGAAAACCTCCAAGGCCTCATGGATCTTATATTTTACTGGATAGGACTAGTAATAAATATGATATATAAATAAACATTATAAGCAAGTAAATTATATAGTATGTTAGAAGGAAAACTAGGCCATGAGAAAAAATAAACCCAACAGTACATAAAGGGGTTTGGAAGCATGGGTTCAGTGGGGATTTGTAATTTTTTTAAAAAGATTTACTTACTTGTTTGAGAGGCAGAGTTACAGAGAGGGAGAGACAGAGAGAGATACTGCATCTGCTGGTTCACTCCCCAGATGGCCACAATGGCCAGAGCTGTGCCAATCCGAAGCCAGGAGCCTGGAGCTTCTTCCTGATAACCCAAGTGGGTGCAGGAGCCCAAGTGCCTGGGCCATTTTCCACTGCCTTCCTGGGCCACAACAGGGAGCTGGATTGGAAGTGGAGCAGCTGGGACTCGAACTGGCACACATGTGGGATGCCTGTGCTGTAGGCAGAGGCCAAACCCACTACACTACAGCACTGACCCCAAGGGGAGAAGATTGTAATTTAAATGGGGTGATCAGATTAGTCTTCACTGAGGTCATTTTTCTGAACAGATGTGCAATAGGTAGATGTGCAAGTTGTTTGAAATCTGGAGAGAAAATCTAAAAAGAGGGACAGCAGTTGCAAATACTCAGAAGCAGGATTGCCTAGCTTGGTGAGGGATGCCTTAGCCAGTGAGGCTAGAGCTGAGTGAATGATGAGAGAGCAGTAGGAGATAAAGTAAAAGAGGTCAAATTCAGAAGAGCCTTATAGCTCCATTATAACATCAGCTCTTATCTGAGCAAAATGGAAAGCTGTTGGAGAGTTTTGAGTAGAGATTTGGCCTGATCTACTTATGTTTTTAAAGAAATCACTGTATCAGTGTAGCTGATCTGCTGAATCCTTTGTGTGCGAGGTACTGTTCTGGTGCTGTCAATCCAACACATCAGTCAATCAACAATGCAACCAAATTCTCAGTCCATATAGTGTGTGTGTGTGTGTGTGTGTGTGTGTGTGTGTGCGTGTGTGTGTGTGTGTCTAGGGGGTTTTGATGTTGCAGCGCAAGACTTGGAATGTAATTTTGGACATGTGGACATGTTGAGATGACTGTTAGACATCTGAGTGGAGTCAGAAGTTGGTTCTATTAATCTTGAGTTAAGAAGAGTGGTTGAGATAGGAAAATTTTGTGGTTCCATCAGCCTCTAGGTGAAATTCATACCATGAGCCTGATTAAAATCATCTAGGGGGAAGGAAGTAAAGAGAAGGAATATTGAGTCCTGGTACATTCCAATATTGAAAGGACAGGAGAAGAGGAGAAATCAACAAAACAGACTGAAACGGGGTGGCTGGTAGGATAAGGAGGAAAGCACAGGAATGTGGTGGCTTGAAAGCCCAGAGAAGAAAGCATTTTCAGAATGGGAAGGTGATCAGTAGTGTCAGATTTGCTGATATTCTAGTACCGTAATTCATTGGTTTTAACCATGAATTTTTTTTTCACATTTAACATTTCTGAAATCATTATGCATTTTACAATTGATAGTAAATGACAGCTTAAGTGGCATGTAACATGGAAGTAACATGGCATATGAGGAGTAAGAATTGACCATTGACCATTGGATTTAGCTAACCATTGGTTACCCTGACCAAAGAGTTTAGATAAAGGAATGGAATAGATTTAGAAGCAAATGAAAAGCGAGAGATCTGATTATTGACAACTCTTTAGAGTGTTTCTGTAAAGGGGAACAGAAAATTTGGGTAGTAGTTGGAAAGCAAATTGGGGTAAAGAGAGGTTTTGGTTTTTTAAGATGGAAGAAGTGAGATCATGGCTGTGTGCTGATAGGAAAATCTCTGTAGGGAGGAGTTTGAGATGTAGCAGTAAGTAATTCAGTAAGTAAGTAAGCCAGTGTGGTCAGGATTGATGGCCCAAGTGGTACCACTAGCCTTAGGGAGTATGAAGAAAGGCAGAGGTGTATGTGTGGGAGGGTGGCAGGAGGATAGGGGGTGAAGATGGTTACATAGTTGAAGTAGATGGAGCAGAGGGGCCTATGGATGCTCTACTGTGCTTCAGTTTTCTCGGGAATGAGGAAGATTTTTAGGTGAGGAGGGGCATGGAGAAGGAGGGCATGGATTTAAAAGAGAGAAGGATATAAAGTGGTTTTGCTTATGAGAGAAAAAGAGTGAGTGGATTAGCAATGCATAGGATGATTATCAGGCAGCACTGAGGTTTCGGTTGGGTACTTAAAGTTGGGTGCCTATATGGTTGTGTGATTTTCTCCAGCCCTCTTCAACTGTAGACCCTAAGAAGGCTTGGAGTTGAATGTCAGATCAGAGTTGGAATTGTCATTTGGCCAAGGAAGTGTGTATGCACCGGAGAGGGTCCAGGTTGTTGAAGGTATATGCAAGGAAGGGTTCTAGTGCATGATCTTGGACAGTACTGGGTAGGGGAATTACTTGTCTATCCATTCTTTCCCTGAGTACATCTTTGTAGCTCTAGTTTACTCACACAGAAGCACCAGCCTATGTGTAGGCCGATGAGCTTTCACAGTTTCTGTTTTGGTAGGGTAGCCTTTCCTTCACTGTGAACATCATGTTCACTCTGGTTATGTGACAAGGATAGCCGCATGTGGTGCAGGTCAGAAATTGGTAGGAGTGACAGAAGCATTGTTGAACAGCTTGTATGGTTCTGACAATTACATGTCTGTCTTAATAAGCCTGCCATTTATGGAACCCCACATCTATTCCTGTATTCCTTCCTCCAACACTAAATGGGGAGTCCAAGACAAGGCTTAATGCTATAACGAGTACTCAAACAGTATATTTCACTTTGTGTTTCTATGGGGGTGCAAACTGTTGAAATCTTTACTTAATGTATACTAAACTGATCTTCTGTTAAAAAAAAAAAAAGAAGAAATTAGCAATTCCCAACTTGACTCTCGCTGGGATTAAACATGACAATAGGTCTGATCTGATTTCATCATCATTTAAAAAATCATCTATTATTTTTCACTTTATGTTTCTGTGTGGGAGCAAACTGTTGAAATCTTTACTTAATGTATGCTAAACTGATCTTCTATATATAAAGAGAATTGAAAATGAATCCTCATGTGAATGGAAGGGGAGAGGGAATGGGAAAGGGGAGGGTTGCGGGTGGGAGGGACGTTATGGGGGGGAAGCCATTGTAATCCATAAGCCGTACTTTGGAAATTTATATTCATTAAATAAAAGTTAAAAAAAAGACAATGCAATATAATCTATAATATAATACAATATAATATCTGAAAAAATATTTTACTAATTTTCTTTTTTTCCCTTTTAAAAAATTTTTAGGCACTTGAAGAATTAATTAATAAAGGCTTCCCTGTAATTCTGGTTTCAGTTGGCCAACAACATCTCTTAAATAAGTTTTATTTTGTTAAGGCATACTTTTTTATAAGTGTGGCTGCAACAATAAATTGTATCCCAGAAACTTCAGTGAAGGTGCTGTACCGTGGACTTACTGCCGAGAAGAGCAAAGTAAATCTCCCAAACTCAAAAGGTACTTGTTTCCTTTTTTTGTTGTTTTCCTTTTTCCTCCATTTTCCAACTCCTCCCCTTTCAAACTCCACTAGTACTTATGAATGATCTAATATATATTCTCCCATATTTTTTCCTAAGCTTATATAATGACACACATATGTACTCATGTCTAGGCACATGCATGTACATATCCCCCATATTCTTCCACCAGTGGGTATGGTATGGATGAAGGACACTATACCCTGCTTCTCAGTTGCTCATACCAAGTGCTCAGTCTATTCCTGAAAGTCGTATGAGAAGTTCTTCCCCTCCTAGGAAGATAGCTCTTCAATTGGGAGCTTGAGAAAGAGAAGTCTATCTTGGCTACACCCATCTGGAGTGGTGTTTCTGTCTCACTGAGCTGGCAGGGGAAGGGGAAGCAATTGTCTTCTTCCAGACATGACAGACTTGTGCTGTTCCTACCAAATTTTAGTAGTTTTGATTGACTAGATTTTTTTTTTTTTTTGACAGGCAGAGTGGACAATGAGAGAGAGAGAGAGAAAGGTCTTCCTCTGCCGTTGGTTCACCCTCCAATGGCCACCTCGGCCGGCGCGCTGCAACCAGCGCACTGTGCTGATCTGAAGGCAGGAGCCAGGTGCTTCTCCTGGTCTCCCATGGGGTGCAGGGCCCAAGGACTTGGGCCATCCTCCACTGCACTCTGGGGCCACATCAGAGAGCTGGCCTGGGAGAAGGGCAACCGGGACAGAATCTGGCGCCCCAAATGGGACTAGAACCTGGTGTGCTGGCGCCACAGGTGGAGGATTAGCCTATTGAGCCATGGTGCTGGCCGATTGACTAGATTTTTAATAATTTGTTGTGTAAATAATTTTCACCATTTCCTCCATGGAGTCGTTTTTAGAACTCCTCGTGTTGTCATGCCAGAAGTTGATTCCCAAGAATAATATGTTCTTAAGAATTACCTATATTTATGTTTATAATCATAATTTATTAATTTTCACTGCCACAGAATATTACATTTTACAATTATTTATTGTACTAATAATCATTCAAGATGTTTTCCAGTGTTTTAACTAAGAAAAAATTACTAGAAGCATACTTGTACATGTCTCTAAGTGCTTATGTGTTACAGTTTCTGCATATCTAGGAATGGAATTGATATGTCATATTTGACTCAAAATTTAAGGCTAATTAGTATTTTTACCTTTTAAGGTCACTTTGCCTTGATCATCTCCTTGTTCTTAAAATATTTAATTGATTCAGGTTTTAGTTTTTATCTTTTTTTGTTAACCTATTTAAACAGTTTATACTTTTTATTTTATATTTGATATTTGTTTCTATTTACCCACACATTTATTATTTCCTTTTAAAAATTTGCAGTAATATAAAGAGAACAGGTTTCTTGTATTCCATAAATACAATTCTAAGAAGAATAACCGTACTTTCCTCCCTTCTTCCCTCTCTCAATTTTTGCTTATCCTTACTGATTACATTTCAGCCCTACTTTAGACATTTTCCATAAGATGATATATCATTTGGAAGTTTATATGAATAGACAGTTGTATCATTACCATCCATTTTTAAAAATTCCATCCTTTCCCAGCTGAAATAAGAAGTTCATTGCATAATAAATTCTCACATATGATTCTTGGTTCTCTATTCTGGACCAGATTTCCCTGGCTTCCTTTGTCATTAAAATAGTTAATTTAGAAATACTGTCTTGAAACATATTATTCTGACAGCAAGAAGACAATAAATCAAATGAATAATTGCATTATGGGTTACCTGATAACAAGTGTTTTAGACAGTATAAAAAGGTTAGAGAATATAGGAGTGGATTATAATTTAAAATATTGTTGAAAAGAAAAAGCCTTCCTAATAGGATGAAATTTGGACAAAAGTTTAAAAAAGGAGAGTGGATGTTACCACAAGCTCTGTCCCTGTTCATGGTGCCAAATTAAAATAACACGGAAAAATTTGAGAGTATAGGAAAGAGAAAGTTTAATCTATTGATAGATGAGAAGAGAATTACTATCCCCCCAAATCAGGGTACTTTGGGGTTTTTAAGATGAGTACAAGGAAGGGGGATGCAGGAATAAGAACAAAGGATGGGGTCAGCTGCATAGTAGCCTCTGGCCAGATGATAAGGGACTGGTTGGAAGTCACAGTGGTTATTTGGTCTAGTTCCATAGTCAGCTTGTGTTCAAGTTCCTGATTAGTCAGCAATGCACTAGTCTTCAAGGAATTTTTTGGGGGGGTTCAGTCAGTCTAGAGGGTATATGCAGGTGGTAGTTACTTTCTATTCAAGATCTGGAATTCCCCTACCTAGATCTCCTGGGATTCTCTTACCCGAAATCCTTTGAGACAATGCTGGCCATCCCATCACCTTGGGATGTGACTTAAGCTGAGGGAGGGAGGCTAGAAGACTGAGGCCTGACAGTATCCAGCATTCAAAGCACTGTTTCAGGGAGAAGACTTACTGGTTAAAATTTTCTCTGTGCTGCTTGACTCTGGACAGCCAACTTACCCAGAGAGGAGAGGAAACAGGGTTATTGAAGGGACCACTTGAGGGAAGAGCATACTCTTTGGTCCCAAATATGCTCTCCCCAGTTTGCAAATTAGGCAGAGAACTTATAATGGAAAATGGGAAATTGGGGCAGGTAGTCAAACAGACTCTAGGGTCTGAGCTGAGGCCACTTGAGTGGAAGCTTCTTTGATATCAAATGTGGCTGCTGTTTGGCTGGTGGAGGTGAGTCCCTGCCTTATTTGAGGTCTGCTTTTCTAGTCCTCTCCCTGCAGTCAGCTTCAGAAGTTTTTAGATCTCCATCTGCTTAAAGAAACATTCTGAGCCCAAGCACGAAGTTGGAATGTGAAAAGAAAAATGGAGGATATATTCAGTATGGTTATAAGATCTTGTGAGTTTGTGATAAAAGAGCATTCCAGATAAAGGGAACAGCAAATGCAAATCAACTCTGAGATAGGGCTGCATCTCCCCTGCTTGAGGAACAGCCAAAGCCCATTTTGATTAGAGCAAAATGAATGAAAGTGAAAGTTGTAGGAGATTAAGTCAGATAATGGACTGATTGTGGAAGGCTTTGAAGGTCAAGGTAGAGAATTTGGCTATTAAATAATTTAAGTATTAGCTTATAATGACCTCCACAGTGATAGAGCAGTGAGGGTGATCAGAAGTAGCTAGATTCTGGGTATATCTTGAAAGTAGATTCAAGCCGGCGCCACAGCTCACTAGGCTAATCCTCCGCCTTGCAGCGCCGGCACACAGGGTTCTAGTCCCGGTTGGGGCGCCAGATTCTGTCGCGGTTGCCCAGACCAGCTCTCTGCTGTGGCCAGGGAGTACAGTGGAGAATGGCCCAAGTGCTTGGGCCCTGCACCCCATGGGAGACCAGGAGAAGTACCTGGTTCCTGCCATCGGATCAGCACGGTGCGCCGGCTGCAGCGCACCGGCCGCGGCGGCCATTGGAGGGTGAACCAATGGCAAAGGAAGACCTTTCTCTCTGTCTCTCTCTCTCACTGTCCACTCTGCCTGTCAAAAAAAAAAAAAAAAAAAAAAAAAAAAAAGTAGATTCAGAAAGATTTGGAAGAGGAAGACCAAGAGTTCACTTTGAGATTCCACTTACACATCTGAGTGAAAGAAAAGAATAGCTGGTTTGATGTATGATTCTGGATTTTAGGAGAGAGGTTCATTCTGGACAAATGTTTCCAAATTGTTATCCCTAGGTGGTCTTGTAAATGTTTAAGAAAGCGGATCAATTCCAGGGGAGTGAGTGTGGGCAGAGAAGAGAAGAAACAAGTAAATGTTTGGGATCACCACTAGGAAAAGGTCAAATAAATGAGGAAGAATCTGCTAAGGAGGCTGAAAAGGGATGAGTGAACCAGTTGTTGACAGACTGGTCAGTTGATTCGATTGAGTCAGTAGATGAAGTAAGGTGGAGGTTGGACTTACCAAAAAGTATTTCATTGGAGAATATAGAAGATACATGTTATTGAATCAGCATTTACTTAGATGGGATCAAAGCAGAATGGGCAAAGAAGACTTGGAGTGAATGGATATAATCCCTGAGGTGTTTTTCCATGAAGTGAGGAAATCAAGCAGGAGGCTGTTAAAGGCCACAGAAGAAGTTTTTTTAGAACTGAAGAAGTAGCTGTCTCCCTGTTGTTGGGGATGATTCAGTAGAAGTGTGGAGAAAATGATGGTGCAGGCATAGTGGGGGGATATCTGACATGATGACCCTAAGTAGCAAGATGGGGTAAGAAGTAGTGCACAAGTGGAGGGTTTGGCCCTACATGGGGCATGAAGTTCATCCATATGACAAGTTGAAATGTCAAGGATATGTAGTATTGGTTCACTTGCCAATGAGTGAACAGATGTGAGAATTTGTGTAAGTCATTTGCTAATGTCTTCTGTCTTCATTGGAATGGAAGACAAGAATATCAACTTAGAGTGTGAATGAGGGAAATTTAAGGGGAAGAAGGGATGGATGAAGTAGCCACCTGGGAGAATAGATGGACAGATGGACTAGGGAATTGAAACAGGACTGCAGGACAGCTCTGAGGGCATTTTTGGCTTCCTGGTGTGAATTTAAAGTGAGAAAAGTTGGCATGGTTCTTTCCCCAGCCACATTAAAATTCAAGGATATAAATGTGGGTTAGGCAGAGAGTTAGATTTAGTGGTGCTTGGTGTTTCACCAAGCAGGTGTTATAAAGGAGAGGTAGAGAGGGCATTGATGATGTTGGCAAGGGAGGGATTACAATGATGGAATAAGTACTAAAGCTAGACAAGGAGGAGTAGGAGGAGGGCAGGGCAGAGTAACAGTGAAAACCTGGTGGATGCCTCTGGATGGCTTTCCTGTCCAGCTCTTTGACAGGAAAACTCATGTCGGACCCATGCAAATTTATCATACTTAGATCCATGCATTTTTGTGGTTCAAACTCTACCTTGAATCTCTGATGTTTCTAATACTCATTCCAGAATTCGTCCATAACCTATATCCAGGCATTTACTTTCTCTGTTTTGTCTCTCTTTCTCACTTTTTCCTACTGGCCCTGTCCAAAAGCCCAGGTTCGTCCTCAGCTGATGCCTAAATATAGAGAGCTTCCTGATTCAGGAGACTGGCTGGGTAGGTTGGGGTTGCAAAAGGAGACAAAGTTAGAGGCATTCAGTTCCATGTTGTTCTACATTCTCCTTCCCATCTGACAAACTTCATTTCTTTAGATGTGTATTTTTTGCAGTATTTTCTAGTCAAATGATTTGTGGTTATTTTCTTTCTCCTGTAGTCTAAAAGCCAGGTTGACTAAAGCAGGTAAAGACCGTGACCTCAATTCTTTGACTTTTCCCTGCTTCAGATGGTGTAAGTCAGGTTTCAGACTCTAGGTGTGATTATGAAATAGATATTCAGCATTGTGGAATTTGCTATTTCAGATGGTTTCTTCTCTGCTGTTAGAATGAGAAGCTTGTGCATATCAGCAGACCTGATGTAATATCTTATTGAAATCTGCATGACTAAGCATACTTTGAGCAGCTGATAACCTGCACAACACTGTTAGTTATGGAAAAGGTCCTCGCAGAATTTTCTGGTTTAAGAATCAACCTCAATCCTCTAATATGGTATTTGGGGACTTTTTGATATAGGAATCTATTTCTAATGATCATCATGGTTGCTGTTTGTTAATATGTTAATGGATAATTTCTTCGTGGTTGATGGGTTTTAAAAACTACAATTAATGTTTTAACAGTTATCTTTTGTCCTTTCAAAATGTTGTTTGTGTCTTTACAGAGTTATCTTCAAGGGAGGATGGAGGCTCATCTTGTCAACTTACGAAAATTAAAGATGAGTTGACTCTTAGCACACTAAAGGTAAGTATGGATTTTTTTCAAATCACAGTGACCAAAATGTACTAAGCTTTGGCAGGCCCACTGCTGGGATTATGCTTGTTCTAGGGAGATCAAGTAGCTGTTTGTTTTTTTTCGTTTACTCAACATGGATTGAGGCTACAAGTGGAGTCTACTCCCCATGAGAAAAGTAGATACCCAGTGTCAGGCTCTGCTTTTGAAACCCAATTTAGCAGCTACCAAAATGATGATTTATTGTTTTATGGGATTTGAGCATTCCATGCCCTGTTTCTCACTTCCTAATAATTATAATGATGACAACAGCGACAACAGCAGCTACCATTTATTCAGTGGCTTACTACATGACAGGCATTTTTCATGGTTATTTAGTTTTCACAACTCTATGGTATAGATATTAATCATTTTTTAATTATGCCATGTTGAATTATGAGAAAATCAACACTTACTCACTATATGCAATTCACTAACATCATGCAAGTAGTAAAATAACAATCTGGGAGTAAGAGCTGTGTCTTTTTGGTTCAGATATCTGTGTTCTTTATTTATTTACTTATTTTTTGACAGGCAGAGTTCGACAGTGAGAGAGACAGAGAGAAAGGTCTTCCTTCCGTTGGTTCACTCCCCCAAAATGGCCACTATGGCCGGCGTGCTGCGCAGATCCAAAGCCAGGTGCTTCCCCCCGGTCTCCCATGTGGGTGCAGGGCCCAAGCACTTGGGCCATCCTTCACTGCCTTCCTGGGCCACAGCAGAGAGCTGGGCTGGAAGAGGAGCAACCTGGACAGAATTGATGCCCCAACTGGGACTAGAACCCGGGGTGCCGGCGCCACAGGTGGAGGATTAGCCTAGTGAGCCGCGGCGCCGGCCCAGATATCTGTGTTCTTAACCCTAGTGCTAAATTGTCCTAGTACAGTCGTGTGTCATTTAGTGACAGGGACACACTCTGAGAAATGCATCATTAGGAGACTTCTTACACAAAGTAAGATGTTTATGACGTCATCTGGCAATATAATCTTATGGGTCCACCATCGTATATGTGGGCTGTAGTTTATGGAAACATTCTTATGTGACTCATTATGGTATTTATATAATATTCACTTCTCTGTACAAATAAGTGTTTTACAAACCTGTTGCTCAAATGATTGGTTGGTTCTTTCATCTTCTGCCATGATAGGTTGCTGTTTACTATTGATTAGCTACTGTAAAAGTCTCATTATCTTCATGTTAATAGTTAGGTGACCATTGTTTTCTTGAAATACAGTGGGTCCTCATTATTCATGGCTTTTGTTTGTTAATTTGCCTACCCACTAAAATTTATTTATAAGCTCAAAGTCAATACTCTTGACTTTTTTTTTTTGGGGTCATTTATAGACTTAAGCATAGGAAAATTAGAGTTGCCCAACATGTGCATTCTAAAAGCAACAGTCTGATTTTTGTTTCAGGTTTTGTATGCAAGTGCCCATTTCATGGCCGTTTAGTAGAAGTTGAGGATCCCTTATATAAAATGTTTGGGACCAGAAGTGTTTCAGATTTTGTAGTTTTTTGGATTTAAGAATATTTACATAGACTGTACTGGTTGAATCCTTAATCTAAAAATCTGAAATCTGAAATCCTCTGAATTCTTAAGTGGAGAGCATTTTGGGTTCCAGGTTTTCAAATTTGGGATGCTCAACCGGGACTGTAACTTCCACATTTTGGTATATTTTTGTTGTGATTTCATGATTTTAAATGTCCCCAAGCAGAGTGTTGACAAGCTGTGATGTGCCTTATGGAGAAAATGTGTATGTCAGATATGCTTTCTTCAGGCATGAGTTATAGTGCTGCTGGCTGTGTATATAAGGCTAATGAATCAGTCTTACATAATGTGTCCTTAAATATGACCGCACATTGAATAAGGTAAGGTGCTGATCAGTTGATGAAAATATTGTGACTGGAGGTTTGCGGGAACCTATCTCTGTATTTCTCCTAGAAGCAACAGCTCAGTATTCACGTATCAGTGTTTGTGGCAAATGTTGTAGAACTAAACGACTACAAGTAAAGAGCACTGGACATCTACACCATAAAGAATGCCTTCTGTGTGCACATGCTTACCCTGGCTATTGCTTTCCATTTTGTTTTCTGTTGCCTTTTTCCTGTCCCCTGAATTTTCTTTGATGATTAGGGCAGAATTCTTTTCTGGTCTCCCATTCATTGTGACTTTTCAGTACATGAACAAATTTGATAAATAAGCCCGAGACATTATTCGTAGTGTTTCTGAACTTGCATGATTGTGTGGGATTTTTTTCTTCAGGCAATTCTACTGAATGAAGCTGAAGACAGGCTCAATTTGCTGGTGTCAGAAATGGAGCAAGCAGGCCGCAAGAACCTCTCCCAGTGTTCAGCCGGGGAACTGGAGATCGTGGTGGCGGCCAGGCTCCAGCTGGCGGCAGTTGCCCTGCAGAGACACCGAGCAGCATACAGGTGAGCCTCCTCTGCCCAGGATAGGTGTGCATGCAAGGAGAGTTTCTGCCGCACCTTAATTTGTTAAATACATATAATAAAATTTTGTGCAAGTTTTAGAAAAGCCTATCTGTGTAGAGTGTATTTGCTTTTTATCATTCAGGATTTTTGTACATTATAACATGTAAAATTACAACTCTTTGCAAAGTAATTACTCTATTAAGGCCCATTGTTAGGATGCTTTATGTTGTATATGGAATGAATAAATTGACAGTGCTTTGGTATCCCTATTAACTTATTTTTAAAAAGACCAAGCCTAAATTCCATATGACTGTTTTTTAAAAAAAACATTTATTTATTTGAAAGAATTACAGAAAGGCAGAGGCAGAGAGAGAGAAAGGGAGAGAGAGAGGGGGAAGAGATGAGAGGGAAAGGGAGAGAAAGGGAGAGAGAGAGAGAGAGAGAGAGAGATCTTCCATCCACTGGTTTACTCTCCAAGTGGCCACAATGCTCAGGGATGAACCAGGCCAAAGCCCATGTAGGTTCAGGGGCCCAAGTACTTAGGCCATCTTCTGCTGCTTTCCCAGACACATTAGCAGGGAGCTAGATCAGACATAGAATAACCATGGGGCTGGCACTGTGGCACAGCAGGTTAAAGCCCTGGCCTGAAGTGCCACCATCCCATATGGGTGCTGGTTCTAGTCCCAGCTGCTCCTCTTCTGATCCAGCTCTCTGCTATGAACTGGGAAAGCAGTAAAAGATGGTCCAAGTCCTTGGGCCCCTGCACCTGCATGGGAGACCAGGAAGAAGCTCTTGGCTCCTGTCTTTAGGATCGGCGCAGCTCCGGCCGTTGTGGCCATCTGGGGAGTGAACCAGCAGATGGAGACCTCTCTCTGTAACTCTTTCAAATAAATAAAATAATTCTTTAAAAAAAAAAAAAAAGAACAGCTAGGACTTGAATGGTGCCCATATGGAATGCTGCCACTGTAGTCAGAGACTTTACTTACTACCCCACAGTGCTGGCCCCTCCATATAGCTTTTTAAAAAATATTTATTTTATTTATTTAAAAGGAAGAGTGACACAGAGAAAGGGAAAGACAGAGAGAAAGAGATTTTATGTCTTCTATTTCACTCCTCAAATGGCTGCTTCAGTCAGAGCTGGACCAGGCTGAAGCCAGAAGGCAGGAACTTCATCAGGGTTTCCCCATGAGGTGTCAGGGGCCCAATACTTGGGCCATCTTTCACTGCTTTCCCAAGTTAATTAGCAGAGAGCTGGATCAGAAGTAGAACAGCCGAGACTCAAGCCTGCACTCCAATATGGGATGCTGGTGTTGCAGGCAGTGGCTTAACCCACTAAGCCGCAACTTTCTTATAGTTTTTGGCTAATAAAACCTATTGAGTATTTTATCCCCTTAAACACAGAATGCAAATATTAAAGACAAACTCTTTTGTGAGAAAGTAACATCTCATGAACTATTTTGTGCTGAACTACTTAAGAAACTTTTTTAGGTAGCTGATTAAATGTGCAGCAATTGTTAGAATGAGATTTTTCAGTTAATTTGTTCATTGATGTATTTATTTGCTCAACCAGTATCTGTTAACCACCTCACTGCCAGGCTCTGATCTAGGCACTGATGATACAAAAACAAATAGAATATAGTTATTGTATCCATATGCTCCAAGATGTATAAATAATTGAGTAGCAGAAAATAAACTATATGGTGATTTTTTTCTTGTTTAATAATATGGAAATAATTTCAAGAGTTTCTCATATCATTTTTAATAAGCACTTCTATCATGAGGTCCTCTGACATGTTCATAATGATTGGTTTAGTAATGCACAATATTCTGTTACCATTCAAGAATTCATTCAAACAATAATTTTGAGCACATACAATATGCTACACACTGTTCTAAGCTCTTGAAATGTATCACTGTCCCAGTACTTAAGTATGTAATGTGTCAATAAAATCTATAAGAATACAAGCAAAAATCTTGCCCACACAATCGTGTTTGTGTTCTAATAAATAATAAACGGGCTGACAATGAACTATAAGAAGTAAGTAAATTATGTACTGTGGCCAAAAGTGCGAAGTGCTATAAAAATATCAGGAGTAGAGGTAGGGGGAGGAGGCAGAGGAATTAATTTTGAATTGGGTGTTTCTAGCAAAGAGGGTGATTCCATTTTGATGTTCAAGGGCTGACAGCTTTTAGGCAGCACCACTTCCTCTTCCAGACAGATAAAGCCCCTTCTTTCGATGCTGGTGGGACATGCACATCATGTAGGTGCTGGCCTGTGGGAGCCTGCATTCCAGTACCACCCACCGCCCATGATGAACCCAAGCCTGTCCCCTTTTCCCTTCCTCTCAAGGCATTTCCAACCTATTTGGGAGCCTGGTCCAGCTCTTCCTGGAATCCTCAGTATGTGACCATTCACTTTTTTATGCCTTCTAGATGTGTGTGTGTTCCGCACATGGACTGAAGACTACCCCTTGAATAAGCAAATTCCACGTTAATACAAAACCAGACTCCACCACCATATTTAAGTCTGATTTTGTATTAGTGTGGGGTTTGGGGGACTTATAAACTTTATGGTTTCTAAGCAGTAAGTGAAAATCCATAAATCTATTTGGAGTAGTTTTTCTCAGAATGGAGTCTGCAGATTTTGGGGGATGTTTCTGAGACCCTTTCTGCCGGGGAGGGGGCAGTAAGAACTCCCATGAGGTTAGAAGAATTTTTATAATGAAACTAAGACATGGTTGGCTTTCTTCACTGTGGTATTTGTGCTGATGCTGCACAAGCAACAAGGAAAAGCTTCTGGTGCCTCATCATCAATCAAAATAATGGCAACAAACTAATCTTGGCATACGTGATAACCCTGCACACTTGTAATTAAAAACATAAAAGCCAGCTTCATTGAAGAATGCCCTTGATGAAGCAATAGAAACTTGTATTTACACATCTTCATCTTTGCATGTAGTAGGTGGTCTCAAAAAGTTAATGGAGGATTCACGGTTTCTTTTCTTTCTTTTTTTTCCTCCTCCCTCCCTCCCTCCCTCCCTCCCTCCTTTCTTTCTCTCTCTCTCTCTTTCTTCTTTTTTAGAACTAGAGGGGGCCAGCGCCGCGGCTCACTAGGCTAATCCTCCACCTTGAGGCGCTGGCACACCGGGTTCTAGTCCTGGTCGGGGTGCCAGATTCTGTCCTGGTTGCCCCTCTTCCAGGCCAGCTCTCTGCTGTGGCCAGGGAGAGCAGTGGAGGATGGCCCAGTCCTTGGGCTCTGCACCCCATGGGAGACCAGGAGAAGTACCTGGCTCCTGCCATCGGATCGGCGGTGCGCCGGCCGCAGCGGCCATTTTAGGGTGAACCAATGGCAAAGGAAGACCTTTCTCTCTGTCTCTCTCTCTCTCTCTCTCACTGTCCACTCTGCCTGTCAAAAAAAAAAAAAAAAAAAAAAAAAAAAAAAAAAAAAAAAAAAAAAAAAAAAAGAACTAGAGGGAAAGAGAGAGTGCCCATCCACTGGTTCACTCCCTAAATGCCTGCAAAGAGTGGGGCTGTGGATGCGCTGAAGCTGGGAGCTAGGAACTCAATCCAGATCTGTTGTGTGGGTGGTAGGGATGTGTGGGAGCCATAATCTGTTTCCGCCCAGGGTTTTCTTTAGAGGGAAGCTGGAACTGGGAACCAGAGCTGGGACTTGAACCCAGGTAGTCCCATATGCAATATAGGCATCTCATGAAGGTTGCTTAACCACTGATATTTTAACCAATAGGCCAAATGCCTGTCCTTACATTACCTTTTAATTCCATTTTGTTCCCATGAAAATTTGAAGCCTCCTTATGTATTTTTTGTATTCTCTGGGAGTAATGGGAACTATACCCAAGCACTTCTGCTGCATGTCAAAACTGGTGGTTGTCTTGAGGAAGAACATATATATGCTTGAACTGAGAGGTGAACAATATGCATTTTTTTTTCATTTTATTTGAGAAAACAACTGACAGATTCTGGCTATTCAGACTTGTATTTGGTAGGACATTTTCTTTAGAAAAATGAGCATGCCTCTTCTAGGAAAAGAACTAACAGTATTTATTGCCAATGATAAAATTTGAACTTTTAGAGGAAGATTAGAATTTTGTACAATTTGTATTTGCCATCAAGAACTTGACAGTTTTCTATCTTTAAATTTTTTTTCTGATGAGATTGGTGTTAATATTAGCTACTGTAATTTTAAAAATATTGTGCAATGAAATGTTTTAGCATTCAGGGAGTTTGCATAACTCACGGAGGTAATATTTTCCATGTGACCCCTGAATGATGTTACAGAATCCCAGTTAACAACATACACTGACACATTTTTAATATAACAGCATAGAAAGTTTGTCAATGTGTAGCATTATATTCCACATTGCAACAAACTTTCAAGAATCTATACATTGTCACCTTTTGATGCAGTATCAAAGAAGATCATCCATGGTTATTTGAAGAGGCTGTTAAAATTCTTCTCTCATTTCCAATGATTGTGTGAGGCCTAGTCTTCATGTACTTCAGTCAAAATGTCATAAGACTGAATGTAGGCCGGCGCCGCCGCGGCTCACTAGGCTAATCCTCCGCCTTGCGGCTCCGGCACACCAGGTTCCAGTCCCGGTCAGGGCGCCGGATTCTGTCCTGGTTGCTCCTCTTCCAGGCCAGCTCTCTGCTGTGGCCAGGGAGTGCAGTGGAGGATGGCCCAAGTGCTTGGGCCTTGCACCCCATGGGAGACCAGGATAAGTACCTGGCTCCTGCCATCGGATAGTTGCGGTGCGCCGGCCACAGCGTGCAGGCCATGGTGGCCATTGGAGGGTGAACGAACCAATGGCAAAGGAAGACCTTTCTCTCTGTCTCTCTCTCTCACTGACCACTCTGCCTGTCAAAAAAAAAAAAAAAAAAAAGACTGAATGTAGAAGCAGACATGATAAGTTGTTATTAAGCAGATTGTCTCTTAATAAGCCAGACCTTAAAGAAAAAAATGACATTCTTATTTTGGGGGG